CCTTTTCTTTTCCTCTCCAACATTCATTTATACTTTCTTGCATTAGGGAATAGGGTTCCTATTCTCTCATGTAAAGAGCAGCATCTTTCTACATAATGAATAAAAGAGTAAAGACCTCTGTGTTGAGATGAGAATCAAAGGAAGGAAGCAACCAAACCTGGAAAAGGTGATATGGGAGTGCTTTGAGAAATAGAGTTTTTTGTTTTTTGGGGTTTTTTGGTTTGTTTTTGTTTCGTGATAGGATCTCACTCTGTTGCCTGGGCTAGAGTACAATGGCATCGTCACAGCTCACTGCAACCTCAAATTCTGGGACTCAAGCAATCCTCCTGCCTCAGCCTCCCAAGTAGCTGGGACTACAGGTGCATACCACCACACCAGGCTAATTTTTCTATTTTTTGTAGAGAAGATCTTGCTATGTTGCCCAGGCTGGTGTCAAACTCCTAGCCTCAAGTGATCCTCCTACCTCAGCTTCTCAAGGTGTGAGCTACCTTGCCCAGCTGAGAAATGTCTTTTAAGTCTAGAAAAGCCATAATCCAGGCATTAGAATTCTAAATTTAGTTTTTGTTAATATTGATAAAATAGATGACTCACATAACCTTCCAGTTATTTTTTGTTTGTTTGTTTTTGAGGCAGGGTCTTGCTCTGTTGCTCGGGCCAGAGTGCAGTGGCGTCAGCATAGCTCACCACACCCTCAAACTCCTGGGTTCAATTAATCCTCCTGCCTCAGCCTCCCGAGTAGCTGGAGCTACATGTGCATGCCACCACGCTGGGCTAATTTTCATATTTTTTGTGGAGATGAGGTCTCACCCTTGCTCAGGCTTTTTTTTTTTTAACAGCTTGTTTAGTATTTTGGCATTAAGCGTCTAAAGTGTTGAATATCTTCAAATGAGAAGTGTTATATAATTATAAAGATGGTATTATCTTTAATAATTCCAGAAATTTTTTATAGGAGCATCTTTAACAGAATTAGACTCACCTCAGTTGCCTTCTCATTTATCAGAATATGAACGGGATACTTTACTTGTTCAACCTGAGGTAAGGCCTTTCATGACACTTAGTACTGGTTACAATGGATATATTATTTGTATGCATATATATCTGACTACTGCATTTTTACCGAATTTATGTACATATGCTTCTTTTTGTAGGAAGTAGTAGAAATGTCTCACGTGCCAGGAGAGTTATTTAATTTATATCTTCACCAAAACTACATAGATTTCTTCATGGACATAGATGATCTTGTGAGAGCCAGTGAATTTCTGAGTTTTGCAGATATCCTCAGTGGTGACTGGAACGTAAGACCATTTGACTTAAATGTTTTCGTTTATGAGTATTTCTTCAGAATTAAGTAAAGAAAGTTTACTGTTATCCGTAATCATTTGAGATTATTTTATGTGACTATTCTTCATAACTATGCTAAAGTTAAGCCATCCGACTCGGTATTTGTAATGATGCTTCAGTAGCTAATCTGATTTTTCTGTTGATAATGTAGCACTAATTTTTTCCAAAACTATTTTCTGATTTTAAAATTAATATA